CCCTGGGATCATGACCTGCGCTGAAGGCCAATGCTTAACGACTGAGCCACCCAGGCACCCCTCTTAGGGTGTTTTAAATCTATACTCTTATCTACAGTGATGATGACTTCTGCCCCTTTGCACTGGTCCTGCCTCACTTCTATTTCAAGCATGCTGCTTCATCCAGAACTGAAAGAATGGTGCTCAGGGTGCTTAGAAAAGGCAGGTGTTCTGGTCTTGATTTGATTTCACCAGGAAGGCCTCTAATATTTCATGATTAGGAATGATGTTGACTCTTGTTTTCATATAGAAAATCTTATTATGGATACACCTTCTTATTTTGAGGTATTTTTTCAAAGATTTTATTTATTTGTTTGAAAGAGAGAGCAGGGGGAGGGGCAGAGGGAGAGGGAGAGAGAAAATCTCAAGCAGAGTCCCCACTGAGCACAGAACCCCACTCCGGGCTCAATCTCATGACCCTGAGATCATGACCTGAGCCAAATTCAAGAGTCAGATGCTCAACTGACTGAGCCACCCAGGCGCCCCTTTGAGGTATTTTTTATAAATCAGAATTTTGTTTAATTTTAAGCCAAATACCTTTTCACCCTCCATGAAGCCTATCAGATACCTTCATTCCCTTATTTAGACTTTAAATCAAAAGCTAGAAATGATTAAGCTCGGTGAGGAAAGCTGAGATGGGCCAAAAGCTAGGCCACACAACAAACAGTGGGCCGGGGCGAGAATGCAAAGGAAAAGTTGTTGGAGGAAATTCAAAGTGCCTTGCGGTCAACACGCGAACGATAAGAGAGCAGAACAGCCTCACTGCGGACGCGCCGAAGGTCTGAGGGGTCGGCCTAGAAGAGCAAACGAGCCACGACGTTCCGTTAAGCCAAAGCCTGACCCTGAGCCAGGCGCTGACTCGCTTCGGTTGGGCGAAGGCTGAGAGCAGTGAGGAAGCTGCAGGGGGACCGTCGGGAGCTGGCAGAGGTGGGTCCGAGAGGTGTAAGGGAAGACGCCGCCTCTGTAACATCAGGGTGCGAGGGGAGGTGGCCAGGGCTGGGGTAGATGCTGCAGCAAGTTCTCCGGGAGACCCAGCGGGGTAAGTGATGAAGGAGGCTACGCAGAGCAGCAGGTTTCCAATGTGGATGAAACGGCCTCTACTGGAAGAAGACGCCAGCTAGGACCCTCAGCGGCCGGGGGGACGTCAGCGCCCAGCTGCAAAGCTTCCAAGGGTGGGCTGACTGTCTTGTCAGGGGCTGAGGCAGCTGGTGACTTGAAGTCGAGGCCAGCGCTCATTGACCATTCTGGACGTCCCAGGGCCCTGGAGGGTCGTGTTCGTGCCACTCTGCCCGTGCTCCGTGAATGGAACAACAAAGCCTGGGTGGCAGCACTTGGGATCACTACGTGGTGTCCTGAATACTTTAAGTGCACTGTGGAGACCTACCGCTCCGAAAAAAATCTTCTTGTCAAACCACGACTGCTCACCGACAATGCACCTGGTCACGCACGAGCTCTGATGGAGAAGTAGAACGAGACGATGGCTGTTTCCTGCTGACACGGCAGCCATGCTGCAGCCCGGGGAGCAAGGAGGCATTCGACTTCCAAGTCTTATTATTTAGGAAATACATTTTGTAAGGCGTTGGCTGCCATAGATAGTGATTCTTCTGATGGATTTGGGCAAAGCAAATTGAAAACCTTCTGGCAAAGATTCGCCATTCTAGGTGCCACTAAGAACATTCATGATTCATGGGAAGAGGTCAAAATATCAACATGAACAGGAGCTTGGAAGAATTCGATCGCAACCTTCATGGATGACTCTGGCGGGTTCAAGACTTCAAAGGAGGAAGTGTGGGGGAAAGAGCGAGAGAACTAGAACAGGAAGTGGAGCCTGAAGATGGGACTGAACGGCCGCCATCTCATGATCAAACTAACAGATGAGGAGTTGCTGCTCATGGATGAGCAAAGAAAGAGGTTGCTTGAGATGGAATCTACTCCTGGGGAAGACGCTGGGAAGATTGTTGAGATGGTAACAGAAGATTTAGAGCATAGCATAAACTTAGTTGATAGAGAAGCAGCAGGTTGGAGAGGACTGGCCAATTTTGCAAGAAGTTCTACTGTGAGTAAAATGCTATGGAACAGCATCGCGGTGATACAGAGAAATCATTCATGAAAGCAAGAGTCCATCCGTGTGGCCAACTTCACTGTTGTCTTATTTTAGGAAATGGCCCCAGCCGTTCCCACCTTCAGCAACCCCCACCCTGATCAGTCAGCAGCCACCAACAGTGAGGCAAGAGCCTCCACCGGCAAGATTACAACTCGCTGAAAGCTCAGATGATGGTTGGCATTTTTTTTAGTAATAAAGTATTTCTTAACTTAATACATGGTTATTAAACATAATGCTATTGCACATTTAATAGACTACAGTGTGGTGCAGATATGACTTTTGTATGCACTGGGAAACCAAAAGATTCATTTGACTCGCTTTATTGCGATATTTGCTTTATTGGGGTGGTCTGGAAGCGAACCTGCAGTATCAGGTTTAAGGTGCCTGTAAATGTTCATATGTGTACTGTGAGTTGTTTTAGGGTGTCATTCTTTTCAATTCATGGAACTTCATTCTAATAGAATTGCACTTTTTACTTGTATTTGTTATATTGTAAGACGCAGCCATGTTGGCATGCTTGCATTTACTTATATCTATTAATGCTATAAGATGTGCATCTTCCTATTTGTATGTTTTTGTATATATTTCTATGAGCATGTAGAACCTTTTGAAATGTACTTACTAGTCTGATTGCATGGGTTGCCTGAATGGGAGCAGGCAAGCAGAGAATGAGTACGAACACAAAGGGGGAAGACAAACAAGCTCACCTCTGGGGATGGCCTGGGTGGGTTCTGGTTCTCCCTCATATGCAGCTTGAGCTTTCCAGGATCTAATGGCCAGAAACTTCTAAAGTGCCCACTTTTCCCCCTTATTTTGTGGGTGTATGAATATTTATATTACTTATAGGCTGATGTTTCCAAGTACAGAGAGTGAGAAGAAGGGGTATCCTTGTGCATCCCTGTGTTTGGGTGGGCCTCCTTCTCACCGATGGACATGGGTGGGGGTGAGAGATGGGTTAGAGCTGAGGTGGCAGATAGGTTCTATGTCATGTGCCATTGCATTGCAGGTCACGAGTGTGGACCTTCGGCCCTATCTTCATCTTCAGCTCTCCTCCCACCACACCCATGTTCCAGTCCTAGCAGGATAATGGTATAGAGTTTATTCTCAGGGTTCTCGGGCTTCCCCACCTCAAAGGTCTGTGTGTGCCCAGACTGGGGTAGGGCTGGGCCCAAACTGGAGTTACCCGAACACTTAGGCACATTCAGGGAATTGATGTTCTAGCAGAGTTCGGTGGGGGCACAACCCTCATGGCTTTGCTGTTTACCTCCCTCTCCCACTTCCTTCCAAAGGTTCCCCCCACCGCCCCTTCCCTTTCCTGGAAGACTCGGGGTTCCATGCAGGGTGCTTGTATCTTTAGAAGGAGCCACGATTTTTGCTAGTCAGCCTTCAACGCACCTGCTGTCCCTTCCTCAGAGGACTTGAGTGCCTTATCAGAGTTGGTCATGCTTACTCATTTAAGGGAAGCTGCATCAGAGCACAGAGAGGACCCAGTCCAAATGGCACTTGGCCCTCAACAGGCACTTAGTGTTTCATGGGCGATTGGTGTCCTTTCATGCTTCTCCCCAGTGCAAGGTGCCTCCTCTGGAGAGGTGGTTGGACATATCAAACAACACAAGGAAGGCGATTAGGTACAAAATACTCATGTATTTATGAATTCATGACCAAATTAAATATGAAACCTTATATAAAAAGAGGTGTGTGTTTTCTCCCCCACCCTCCCACTCTCCTCTGAAGCAGCTTTGAGCGACACGAGTACAGTGTGTTTGTGTGACTTGTCCTTCCTGTCTCCCTGCATTTCCAAATGCCAGGTTCTTGGGGGACTGGAATTCTGCCCCTCCTCCCTCCTTCTCTCCTGGGAGGTCACCTGCCCTGGCCTGGCTCCCCCACAGTCTCCCCAGGTGGTGTCCCTGGTTTGCACCTGGGCCTGCTGGGCCCCCAGGGTGTGGCTAGGAAGGGGCAGTGGGTCCCTGAGGGGTGAGCCCACCCTGGTTGCCGGGATGGTCCTGTGGCTCCTCTCTCATGGGATCGCTGCACCCCCTGGGCCTCCCTGACACTCTCTCTCCCCTTGGCCTTTTTGCATCCTCATCGGCAGGCCATACTGCTCAGCCCCCCGTTCCCCCTCCCCCCGGATTTTAGGTTTCTGTTTTCCCTCTCACCAGGAGTTCCCGGGAGACCCCATGGCCACACCTCTGGTTCCCTTCCCCAGAGAAGGGTGCTGGGTGCAGAACTGCACCCTCCTTGCGAGCCGCCTCCTGCCCTGCCCCCTGGCTCCTCAGCCTCGCCCTGAAGCCAAGGATGAGAACTCAGCTGGCAGGAGCACACGTCTGGCCTGCCAGCCAGCCAGCCACCCTAGAGAAGGGGAGGCGGCTCAGACAACAGGGGGTGCCACCCTAGACGTGCCTGGCCTGCCACCTCCCACTCCTTCTCTTGACAAGGACTTACCATCAGATCTCTAGGTCTCAGTACCACAGAATTGTTCCAGACTTTTCCTGTTTCTGGGTTTGCTTGACCCCAGGCCTGAAGCCAGGGTCTTGCTGGTGGAGCCCACCCCAGGCTTCCACTCGTCATTAGTGGGACTCTGGCTTTTAAGACGACATACAGTGTGGGGGCTGAAATATGGGTCAGGATCACAAAACCGGGAGAAGTAAAATGTGGCCCAACTTTTCCCCATGGGGTTACAAGCTGCTGTCTTACCTCCCACAATCCTCCAGTCTGGTCCCCCTCTTCCTGGGACTGACTTTGCTTTGCCCCTGCTCACGTTTCCCCTTTTCCTCCTTCCCTTCCCCCCCATGTCAGGCTCCATGCTGGGGTGTGGAGCCTACTTAAGATTCTTTCCCGCTCTCCCTCTGCCCCCCAACGAGCACTAAGGTCATGTCCTATGATCCTCTGGCCTCGGCATTACCCGGACTCCTATTCTCCAAGTCGGTGCCCTTTCCCCTGACTTTTGACCCCCCCCCCCATACACACACACATTCACATCCTGGGAGGAGGAGGAACAGATTCTCATGATGGGCCAAGCAGGGGTCCAATACCATGTTCAAGCCCTGAGACCCCCCTGCCCCTGCCCCCGAAGCCTCCATCCCAGCATGCTAACTCAGAACTCGTGCTGTCCCCAGAGCCAGCCGGCAGGGTGTGGGCATCCCCAGCCGCAGTGGGTGACAAGTCCTTTCCCCAGAGGCACTGGAATGACTTCCACGGCCTACGCTCTTGTCTCGTCAACACAGAGGCCCCGCTTTGTAAGCTACAGAGGGGCTTTTTCTGTTCTTGTTTCTTTTCTTTGAGGGGCTTGAGGCCAACATGTTTTTGTTGGTGGTGATTTTGCTGTTGTTTGGGGGGTTTTTTGTTTTGTTTTGTTTTTTTTGCTAATTTTGCCCCACCGTGCTAAGAGGCCGTGCTAACCAGAGGCAGGGCGAGGAGCCCAGAGAGCATGGGGCTGCTGCACCCAGACCACCCCCCACTTTCTCCTCTCCCCTGTTCCACCTGTTTCCTTTGGTTCCCATCTCTGGATCTGAGTGGTGAAGCACAGGGAGGGAGAAGTTTCTCACGGCACCATGAGGCACTGCTCCTAGGCCTAAAGCTCTGACCAGGCTCTGCTATCCTTGATCAGGCCTGGACACCTACCGCCCTGGGAGGGAGGGATGCTCGCCAGAGTGCAAGGCTTCCCACCCATGGCCTCGGCAGCTGCACCCCAGGATGTGGAAGCATCGAGTTGGGTCTGAAGGCTTCATTTCTACCCTGACTTCTCCGGTGAGGAGCTGAGTAGGCGCTGTGTGGAAATTGCCCACAAAACATCTGCCACCCGCAGGTCCATGGATGGAAAAAGAGAGACAGGACCCTCCCTGAGCACAGCCACTCCCTGGGAGGGGGCTGCCTCCACAGACCGAGCCACAGAGCCTCAAGGCTGGGAGAGTCTCCCATGGACGCCAGCGTTCTCCAACCCAGAGTCAGATGCCAAAGCTCTCAGTGCCTTCCCTCTCCCCACCTCCCAGCAGCCGTCTGCCTCCCTGCCCTGCTCTGGAACTGGGGTCCCCTGCAGGGGGTCCCCGTACTGATCCACAAGGCCCCCCTCCTCTCTTGCTGAGCTACGTCAGCTGGTGAGAACAGCTCTGCCCTTAGGGTCCTGGTTACGTGGGTCCCCTTGTCCCTGGAAGGTGGAGGGGGCGATGCAGAAGAGCAGAGGGGCAAAGGCGAGTGGGGGGAACAGCAGCAGGGTCAGAAGAGGGTGGCAGCATCTCAGACCACAGCCGAGGAGGAAGATGGGGATGACGAGGAGGCCGCAGAAGAGGACGGTGAGGAGGGACTGCTCCAGAACAGCCACCGCCGCTTGGGCTGCCGTTTCAGGTGGAGATAGTCCTCCTTCTCGCGCTCCTTCCGTGCCCGCTGGTAGTGATCTTCTTCCTTCAGGTACCAGACGGGCGGCCACCGGTGCTTCTCGAAATACTCCTGGTTTTCTGGAGCACAACGCAGTAGGGCTTGGTTAGAAGGCCGGCAGGAGAAGGGGGCAAGAGGAGCACCGGGATGTGGGGGGCGTCCAGGGGCCATCCGCCTACCCCCCGACACTTCTGCCCTGGGGACCATCCAACGCACGCCCAGTCCCAGGGGCCAGAGTATCAGCCCTGCCTTTGGAGCCCTCCATGTAGCCGCAGAGCTTCCTCCTGGGGAAAGGCACTTCCGCTCTGCTGGGCTCCGGGACACAGGGACAACCTAGATGGGCTTCCCGTGCGCTGGGAATGAACTAGGCTGGGACGGAGCGGGAGGAGGGAGAAGGGCAGCGAGGTGCTGGGCCCAGCTGGGGTGGCAGCACAGGCGGCTGGCAGAGCTGGCTTCTGAGGGCAGCGGAGGGAGGGCTGCAAGAGGACAAAGAGGGTCAGCCTGGAGGGAAGGCTAGGCTGAGGGGTTCAGACTGATTCTGGAAGGCGTGGAAGGCGTGGAAGGCGTGGAAGGCGTGGAAGGCGTGGAAGGCGTGGAAGGTTTGGACCAGGGCGGTGATGTGGTTGGAGCTGTGCTTGCGGAAGAAAATGCCCGCAGGGTGTAAAGGAGAGAGTGGGGATGGGGTCGGTGTGGGAGGACCTGGCAGCAGGGAGAGCGCGGGGTGCCCAGTGAAGACCTAAAGAATGCACAGTGGCAGGAACTCGGGGGGCCACGACACCTCTCCCGGAGCCCATGCACTTCCTGTTGGGCCCCAGGACTGGGGACATTAATTAAGCAGAGGTGGAACTGCAGGGACCTCAGAGGATATCTGGACCTGGGCGGTCCAAGCTGTGCCTATTTCTAGGTTGTGAAATCAATGTGGTGGGTCATAAGCCGCATTAAAAATAATTCATGTAGTTTTCTATATGTGTACTGGCTCACAACAAAATATATTTCTTATTGTGGAGCCCTCTCTCAAAAATACCAACTCCGAAAAAAAAAAATACCAAGTCTGAAATACCAAAATACACCTCCCCCAAAAAAATACCAGGTCTGAAAAATACCAGAAGTCCAACACCTTCCTTGTACTTGTAAGAAGTAGGAGCCCAGAGAGGTAAAGTGAATTGCCTGAGGTCCCCAGCTGCCCTGATCTTTTCCTGGGCTCCCCCCCCCAGCTCAAGTCCAACCCAAGGGTCTCTGGCAGCTTCTGGACGCCCTGGGGCCGAGTCAGAGATCTGGCCCCTTTGGCATGCGGGAGGAGCATGCACAGGTCCTGCAGGAGACGCTCACCTGGGGACATGGCCTTCATGTCTCGGGGGAACTTGCGGCACACGTTGTTGTAGTTGGTGCAGATGTGGTGAAGACACCAGTCGGCCAACTGGTACGCACAGTGGAACTGGGGACAAAGAGGAGCACCTACGCTGGAGCCCCGGGAAGGGTCCACATAGACACCCATAGTTGTCCTCAGAGCCCAAGCTTTGGTGCAGATGGGCAAAGCCCCACAGTTGTAACGAGCCCGTCTTGAGAGGCAAACCCACACGGAAGTGTGAGAAGACACTTAATTTGCTCCTTGGCGTCACCACCGCCGCCGTCACATCAGGTCACCTCTGCCCCGCCCTCAGCACCCACAGAATCCATAGATGCGTGCGGGGCCGTGCTCCTTAGACCCCTCCCCGGAGATGTCCTCCGCCGCCCACCGGGGGCCAGGGCAGCCTGCACGGAGGGGTAGACGGCCAGGCTCCGAGAGCCGACTCCGCCCACTGTGTCCGCGTGCCTCAAAGCTGCAACGTCCGCTTCACGAGCTGGCTTCTAGGGCCAGAACCGATGCGCTCGGAGGGCCGTGCGTGAGACTTTGCTTGTTTGCTCGGGAATAAGGAGGTGGGCAGCTCACTTTGGATGAAGAGTCCTCAGTGACCTCAGGCACGCTGCAACCATGTGAATGTACGCGACTGGGCTTCTGTCCCCTGCCCTATGGCGGTCCGAAGCCTCAGTCCCTTCCCGCCAGTCCCTTTCCTCTCGGCATGTCAGAGTGAATCCTCTGGCACGGAGGATGAGGCAGGCCCTGCCCAATCCGGGACCCAAGGCTAACAGCGGGCTCCCTTCCTACCCACCGCCTGCCAGCCTTCTTCAGTCCCTGCCAACGGGCAGACAGAGCCCAGAGTCAAGAACGTCGGAGAGTCCTTCCCCTGCCAGCGTACCTGAGCCAGTTCTAGGAACACGAGGACGTCCCCATCAATGTCCACCATCATCTGAGTCGCTTCCATCAGCCCGCTCACCGTGTACCGCTCTGTGATATACACAGTCGGGAATCAGCTGAAGAGCCACGTGAATGGACACGCGCTCCCTTTTACCCCCGGCAGGGACCCACTGCAGGGCAGAGAGACACGAGGGCCTACCGGCAAGTCCCAGCAGGCCAGGGAAGACCACAGGTGATTGAAGTCTGCTCCACCAGTGAGGAAATTGGGATTACAGCAAGACTTTCCCAGTGGAGCGGGGTTGGGGAAGTAAAGGTGGATATTAGTTAGAATCAAGTAGGAGAACTGTTCCAACTACATTTGTTGCCCCCAGTGGTCTGGTATATGTAGGGTGAAAGCCCCCAGCAGAACCAGCCGTTGACACTGATGAGAGAGGGTGGTAACTCCCAGCTGTGCTGAGAACTACAAATTACAACTGTGGATTGAATCTAGTTGTTTGTGTTCACTGAAATTTTGTAACAAATTGTGAACAAACCTTATATTTTACGTTAAAACATTTATATTAAAGAAGTAAGCACTCTTAATCCTGAAGTTTAACTGTATCAGTATAAACTCATGAAGTATTTTATCTTCATGGGGGCGCCCGGCTGACTCAGTTGGTTAAGCACCCGACTCGTGATTTTGGCTCAGGTCATGATCTCAGGGTTGTGAGATCGAGCTCCCTGTCAGGCTCCACACTGGGCATGGAGCCTGCTTAAGATTCTCTCTCCCTCTGCTCCTCCCCTACCCCTGTTCACGCTCTCTCTCTCTCTCCCTCTCAAATAAACAAACTTTCAAATCTATTTCCCAGATCTAAGAAAAGACCTAGAAACAAGAGACAAGAATGCAGTAGTAAGGTGCATCCCTAATGCTCAGATTATAGTCTTGAAATACCATGTCCAACTATAAGAAACAGATTCTCAGAGAACTAGCTGATTCCAGGTCTGCGGCAGGAGATGTACAGAATGAGCCTGGAACATCTTGTCATTCCACACAACCAGAAAGCTCATTCTGGTGCCAACTTGAAAAGACTCCTGCTGGCAAAAGGTGCAGTGTGGTATTTCAGCTTCAATAAAGATAACTGTAATTATTTGAAACCAATCGAGTATGTGTGTAATAACACTTAAAAATAAAAACTGATTGGACACCCGCAAAGGGTGATGGGAAACAAATTTATCTCGAAGACCGGTAAATAAAAGGATACAATCAAGCATTCATCTGCTCTTCCTATATGAACCACACCACTGGGTAAGCAAAGAGTAGGTGAGGGGAAGCTGCTCTCTTTTTCAAAGTATTCCAACAGACAAAGAAGGAATGATTGAATTGGTATATTATCATTTCACACCGTCTCATAAATCAGTAGATGCAGGCAATGATACTCAGTGGCTGCTAACATCACAAAAAGATCACAAAAAGAGACAAAGCTTCTTGATGAAAAACAGAAATGGGGCGCCTGGCTGGCTCAGTGGGTGGAGCATGTGACCCTTGATCTCGGGGTTGTGAGTTCAAGCCCCACACTGGGTGTAGAGATTACTTAAAAATAAGATCTTAAAACAAAACAAAACAGGAATAACCTATAAAATAGTTTTAGCAAAAGAAAATTGAATATGAATCTGATCTATCCCCTAGACCCAATGGCCAATCAGTGAAAAATCTAGATTTTCTGGAACATCAGTGGGTTTCTTCCAATAAACTGCAAGGGAAAAAAAATTTTAATGGACAAGGAACCTTTAGATTAGGAGAAATTTAAAAGGCATTTAAAAAATAAGACCATGCTCTTAAAGCAGGAGGGGAAGAATGAAGGGGGGGAAATCGGAGGGGTAGACGAACCATGAGAGACGATGGACTCTGAAAAACAAACTGAGGGTTCTAGAGGGGAGGGAGGTGGGAGGTTG